GCTGATTAGTAGGCTAGAGTTGAAGATAGCTGCAACTCCACCTCCTCGGCCTGTGCCTCGAGGAATGTGAGTATTAATATGACTGGGAGGGGTGGATTCATTTAAGCTAACATATTCTCCATCACCCAGCCAGGTTTCAGTAAGACAATAATTCAATATCATAATCTGATATTAGTTAATTTACTAGTACACCTTTAGAAGAGAGAGATCTGATGTTTAAGAGTCCACATTTAATTTTCCTATCAGTTTGCACTATTGCTCTTGTGGTTTTAATTTTTACGAAGTTTTTATGCACAGCTCCTCTTCTGTTCACCTTTTTAAATAATTTCGATGGTCGGGGGACAGACACCGTCACTATAGGATTTTCACTAACTCCTGAAATGGAGGAGCAGAGAAGTGTGTTAGACTGCGACTCTGCCTCCTGGTCTCAACTCTGGGTTGTCATGGATTTGGTCCACTAATAAACTTGGCCAGATTTCTAGAAATGAGAGCTGCTCCTTCCCAAGTGGGATGGATGCCGTCTCTCCGAATCAGACCAGGTCTTCCCCAGAAAGTCTGCCAATGATCTATAAAAGCCCACATTGTTTGCTGGACACCACCTCAACAACTTTGTAAACTTTTAATATTGATTTCATGAATGCAAGACATGCTTCATAATGGTAAACTATTGCTTGTGTATTAGTTTTTTATATAACATGGATCAGACTAAATATGCTTAAAATAAAATCACATTCTTCATTCATCAGTTTCTTAAGTTATTTGGAAAAAGCGTGATCTAAACTTAACAAAATATTATAATTAACAGCTGTAAATGAAAATATTAAGATGTTAGGTATAGGTTAACATATTGCATGTATGTAAGAAGAAAGTAAAAACTGAAAAACTGATGTTATATGCTGGTTCTAATTAAACTAGAGATGAATGTAACATTTACTGTGAAGTTACACTCACAAAAAAAACAAAGAATTATTTGCACACCAAATAGTTTTGAGGCTGGCTGTAGGAGGTGTCCTTTATTGTGACCTCTGAGAAGGTCTTGTGGGTATTGCATGGGTAATGGGAGGCTTACACTGTATAGATGCACCTATTTACCACAGGTGCATTGGTCACCTCTGAGACCTCAGAGCACAATTAATGAGACCACCTACTTGGTTTCATAATTACCCTGTGCAGGCCATTCTTAGTTTCAGCACTTACCAACATGTGTGTTTAGACGTGAGCACATTCTTCTGTGTGTCAATTAGAATTAAGCTAGAGCAGCAAATAAGACGCTCTTCAAAACTTTCAGGCTCTGGCATTGGGCGTAAGGCTCCTAATTTATTGTAAAACTATAAGGTAGAACGTGAAAATACACCTGCACACACAGAAATAACTTACTTTTCTATATTTCATGTGAACCATGAAACATTTTTGGGAGTATTTCCGCTTTTCAACTTATACTCCCTTAGCAAGAGTTCAGCTTTAATGTCACATCCATCCATCGTCAACCGCTTATCCTGCGTACAGGGTCGCGGGGGCTGGAGCCAATCCCAGCTGACATCGGGCGCAAGGCAGGGTACACCCTGGGCAGGCTGCCAGTCCATCACAGGGCCACACATAGACGAACAACCACTCACGCTCACACTCACACCTAAGGACAATTTAGGGTCGCCAATTAACCTAGACTGCATGTCTTTGGATGGTAGGAGGAAGCTGGAGTACCCGGAGAGAACCCATGCAGACACAGGGAGAACATGCAAACTCCACACAGAAAGGCCGGGGCAACCGGGGTTTGAACCTACGACCTTCTTGCTGTGAGGCGACAGTGCTAACCAGCTTTAATGTTTCATCTTTAATATTAAAGATATTCTGTGTTGTATGATTAGCTTGTCCTTTGTATGACAGAATGTGAAATCTAACATTTTCCATCAGTAGTTTTTTTTAATGGACACAAAAAGTGGACAATATTTAAAAGTAAACGAAAGGAGAGAAGGCCTCACCACGTCAGTCCACCCCAACAGATACACACTGAGGATGCTTCCCAGGTCTCTGCAGCTCTCAAATATAATTCAATTCAAAAAATTCATCTTTCATTGATTTTATTATTTCAAAATTTATTTTCTAATTTTAGAATGAGTAACAACAAAAAATTATCACTGAAAGAAATAAACAACTTTTAACAAATATCAAAGTGCCTTTCTTTCTCAACAGTGATATTTAAGACAATAATCTCATTAGCAGTAACGTTACTCAAATCAAAAATCAATATAGTGGGGTGGGGAATTACCTAACGTAACCAAAAAGTAATCCATTAACTCGCTAACTTAAGAGGCAACAGTTATGTCATGACTAATGTTTTGGAAGCTAAATACCTACCATCATCTCTAACTTAAAGGAATCTAACGCTATCTTTTTAACTTTATGACAAGAATCATCACATAATGATTATATAGTGACATCCAAATAAACAACTCATGACTATCATTATGAAAAAAGTTAATTGATTTGCTTCAAATTTTTCATCTGAGATGTATTCATGCTGGTTAATAGTAACTGTTAACGTTAAATTCCAAATTTCTGCAAGTCTCCACAAAATCTAGTGTTACAAATTATCACATTTATTTCCAGTGTTTCCTGTAGGAATTGAGTGGTAATGGTGTAGTGGTAGACCACTTCAAACTATTAGTGTCACAGAGCGGGCCTGTTATGGATATGTGGTGTTGGCACACTCATTTTTGCCTGTTCAGGCTCGTCACCTTCTCTATTCTGCCACTACAGTTAGTGCCTCCTGATGGAGCTTGTTACAGTTATGCTACAATCACATATTGATCGATGAGACCATGGATAGGGCCCTAGGAAATCCATTTAAATTTTTGCCAGATTCCATTTTATATTTAATTTTTTTCTGAATTCTGTGTTTTACAATTTAAACACATTTTGTCATCAGAAAGAATCAATGAATTTGATGTATCATGCAAATATGCATACAGAAATATTTAAACATATGTGCAATTATTTATGGGGACCATTCATAATACAACAGTAGGATCCTAAAATACTATCAGAACAAGTTTTATTCGCCAGTTATGTGTACACATGCGAGGAATTTAACTTTGTATTGTACATTGCTCACGATGTCCTTACTCATACAATAATAATACAATAAGGCAATAATACAATCAGACACAGGCTACAATATAGAGAACACAAATGTACACACTATAAACAGAAACAAACAATATAGACATATTGACAAATAGTGCAGTGAGCAGAGTGCAAAGGATGCAGGAGTAAAATTATTATAAGTTATGTACATGTCGGAGGTGGACGTAATATGCAGGTACACTCACACCATGCAATGGAGCAGAGTGCAAGGATGCCTGAATAAATAAGTAAGTATTTTGTGCAAGTGTTATGAACTTGAAGGAGGTATTTAATAGGGGACAATTCACAACAAATGAATTGTTGCAATACATGTATTGTGAATTGTCCCCAGCAAACAGTTTACTACTTGACAGCCTCTATATGCTGATGAACACAGACAGAAGCTTCTCTCAATTGGGCAGTGCTCCACCCCCCAAAACAATGATAGGTGTAACGCTGTAGGTGTAGTGCTGTAAAAGACTCATTGCCAGTTATCACAAACGCTTGATTGCAGTTGTTGCTGCTAAGGGTGGGCCAACCAGTTATTAGGTTTAGAGGGCAATCACTTTTTCACACAGGGCCATGTAGGTTTTTGTTCGCTTAATAATAAAAACCTTCATTTAAAAATGCAATTTGTGTTTACTTGTGTTATCTTTGTCTGATATTTCAGTTTGTTTGATGACCAAAAATATTTCAGTGTGACAAACATGCAAAAGAATTTTCACACCACTGTATTTCTACCTTCTATCAATTTAAACAGAGAACAGCTTTTACTATATGATGGTATGTATTACTTTAATTTAAATACAAGCACACATACCTTATGTTGCCTTTTATTTCATGGTTTACTATTTATAATGTATGCTTTGTAGCTGCCATTGTTGTGTGATGTCATTCAGCTGCGTGAAGTCAGGGTTCACAAGTAGGAACTCTGACTTTGAGTGGTGTATCTGGTCTATTCAACATCTAATGGATGACAGAGGCAACATACTGGACTACAATGAGTTAAGACGTAATCACAGTGGAAAATGTACTAATAGAGAATATTGTGCTGTGATCAGAGAAATCCCAAAAGCCCTCATTCAAGTGATTAAGGAAGCCTTATTGTACACATTGATGGTGCCTAGACTTTTCACATTGTCCATTATAGCATGTCACTTTTTAGATAAGAAATGTAAGTTCTAACCAAGAAATGTTTTCCTTCCCCTGTGACCTCTAAGAAAGTTAGATGAGTATACCTCACTTTTCCTGTGCCACCTAAAGCTAAAGAGAAGTACACTTTAAAACAATGAATAATATTTATCCCTGCAATTAATGTTTACAACTAAGATTTAACATTAACTCTAATGAATGTGTGCATTCTGTAACACAGAAATAGAAACAATTACACATCTAATGTTCTCTTGCAATGTAAAGTATCTAAATTGTTTTAGGAAGATTTTTTACAAATGGAAATTTGTCCACACCAGCCTTAACCTGTAGTAATAGGCCTGAAGTATAATTGGACCCCAGTCAGAGGTTAAAATGCATTATTTTGAGTTGCTTATTTTTCTTTTCCATTTATGGCTTTTAATTATTTGTTTATATATTTTTGTAAAATCTTCACATTTCTTGCTGTTCATGAAGTATGTGATTGCACTTGAAATTTGAACCTTGTTTGTTACTGCATAGTCCTGATCTGTATTTTTTCTTTAAGTGGCTTTAATTTTTGAATTGTGTTATGCAAAATAAAAAATAAATAAATAAATAACTTTTCTAGTTTGAGATCTGATATTTCCGAGTTGCCTAGAACGCAGCTTCAGCTGTGGAGACAAACAAAGTGATGTGCATACTACGCCACCCAACACTCATCCAGCTATGATGTCAGGCAGGTAACGTTAAATGGCTTGCCCACGGACACTGAGCTTAACGTTACTTTGTAGTTTGCCAAGGCTGTTGTTGCGTTTTCAGCTATAGTAGCGGGAGAGTTGTAAATATCGCTGCGTGGGAACGTCTCCTCCTCTCTGCATGTTAGCTTCGCTGCAGCTGCAGCTGTAGCGCAAGTTTGCTATTCCACAACTTAGATAACGTTAGTTTCATTACTTGCTGTGTAGTTGTTCGCTCTAACGTTATATCATTTATTTACTTGTCATGGAATTGGATTTGTCCAGCATCGCTTACCCACTTTCAGGAGTATTTTTTGTATCAGTGTCACGTTGGTTTTGTCACTGCCTCGCCCTTTTGGAGACTAGCGGTGGGTCCTGAGTGGGAGAAGTGAACGCGAACCCCGGTAAATGACCAATTGTTTCACTCCATGGTCACCGAAGTAAATATTAGCCCCATTTCCACTTATGTATAATTTTAACAGGCCTCAAAGTAATATGTTTCAGCCAGTTCACAGCTGCCAGCTGAGGCCATCTAACATGCACTGATTCCAAAATCTTTTGTACCTAGTAGTCCACACTAAAATATGTGAAAATAGGGCCCAGGTTTAAAAATACCAAAATTTTCCTTGAAACATTATGCCATAATGGTGTTGGATTAGTTGCCCTTTCTGACACAAAAAAACCCACATTGTCTGCAGATTGACTTTGTGTCAGCCGATCTTTTTCTCAGCACAATGTTAATTCCTACCAAAAAGCGTCAACTGGCTTTTAACTGGCACATTTGAATGAAGCTCCCACCTGTTTGTGCCTTTACCAAACCAAGAGGCAAGGTGAATTGTCAGGAGAATATATCTATCAACGGCTTTGCCACGTCATTTTTCCGGGGCTTTAGCCCCGGATGTTTTGAGTGTAACCCCAAGTATGGTGTAACCCAACAACAGCAACAAAATATTTTCCATGTTAATATACAGTAATCTTCATGACGCAGCTTCTCTCTAAGGTCTAAAAAGAGCGGAGGCTACCCGCAATAATTGATACATTTTGTTTGAAGTTCACGTATGTGACCAACCACCGTTACTCAGACTACTTGCATTTAGAGAGAACACGAGAGAGAGGGAGTGAGAGCGCATTGCTCACAGCTTCAGGGCTTCTGAATTACAAAATTGTAATCAAATATAAATGTTGTCGGTCAGTGTCTAGTCAATGTATTATCACAAACGGTTAACAGCCGCCGCACAGCAGTGAAAGTAACTTAAGGCAAAAAAGGAATAAGCAACTGCATTACATTCTATTATTTTTATATTCTGAATTGTCACCTGCCACCCAACTTTTGCCCTTCCCTTTATAAAAATAAAGACATTTCCACCATAAATTGGTGCAGAAAATGTCTCCAGAATGCAGGAAATTAAGTATTTAATGCTCAAAATCGTCTGGGGGGGGTTGATTGAACATTTCATCAATATTTCTTTTTAAACTAAATTAAAATTAATTAAGCTAATTTATCATTAAGGTGAAAAGGCCTTAGGCTACTTCAGGCATGCCTGCATGTATGTAGACTCAGCTGGGATTAAATTAAAAGAGAAAAGTGGATCTACAGGAGAAACATATCTGACATCAATACAGAATGACTGACAGCCTTACTGCATTATATTACGCCTAAATTATTTTATTTTGAATTGTCACCTCAGATATTTCCTCAATAAATTGGTGCAAAAACAATCACCAGAATGCAGAAGTGTTTAAAGCCCAAACTTTTCAGGGGGAGGACCCCCACTCCCACCCGAGTTAATATTATCAGTGTTAATTATTATCAGAAAAAGAGACAGATGTTAGAGTTACTGTGTAGAGGTCATTTACTGTTGCTTTACAGGCGTACTTGGGCGGCAACAGGGGGTGGGGGGTGAAAACCATAGACTGTAAATAAAAAGGTGAAAACGTGAAAGATTTCTGGACTGGGCTAAGCCCAGTGAGCCTGGAAACACCCCTGCCTGCACAGTCGGCAGCGTAATGCAAAAATAGAGCTCTGAATGCACTGTTTTTGTTAGACAGGACGATCTGTTGTACCAGCTATGATATTTCTAGATCTCTCATTTAATTCCAACATGTTGGCTGTGTTCGGAACGGGCTAAACTGCTGTCTCAGAAGTTCTCTAACAGGACAGCGAGGCATAGAGTGCTGTTCGAAACTGCTGAGAGGCCTTCAAGCTGCCTCAGTAACGGCCAGTTTTGAAGGCAGCATCAATGATGACTTGAAGTTGACTATTACCCATAAAGCAGCGTGTCTGCGGCTGCCGGAGCTTTCGAAAACTGGTCAAGTTGGCGGACAAACAAGCCGAATTTGTACACAAATATACGTTTTTAAAGGTTTTTAATAGTTTTCTCGCTTTGATTTTTGAAAATCTAGCGAGAACTAAACAATGAACACTATCAAATTAGCCCGTGACTGTAACCAACCAAGTTTGTTCAGTATGATTTCTGAGGCGTCTGTTAGCCGTTTGGCTTTTCAATAGCTAGTTAGCTTATGCTAAGGCAAGACGGCATGCTGACGTCACACGTTCCCGAAAGTGCTGCCCTAGAAGGCTGTTCTAAACTAATGTAAACAGAGCTGCCTTCACATGTCTATTACGGTATCGAGGCAGCGAGGCAACTGCCTTCCGTTTCGAACACAGCAGTTATTAACAGTATGCACTGATGTCACTTCCCCTTCCGGAACACGCTGGACTGAGTGGCAAAACATCTTTTAGCATGGTTGCGTTTAGCAAACCGTGAGTAAAACAAGTGATTATTTGCTCAAATTAAAGGCAGTCGGACTCGACAGTGATCCTTACTGCTTACCAAAGAACCAGTGGTCCAGCTCTTTCCCATTTTAGATGTGTTGTCTGTGTTTTAGCTGATTCAAGCTATACTGCTGCTCGTCTTTCTGCCACTCAGTAAGCGTAACTGTGTTTGTTGTTGTAGATAAAGCTGACTTGAATTTAGTTTAATTGATTGTAGTACGGATTTGGATTGCAGTGAACCCTGTCCACTTTGAATTAATAATGTACTGATGAAATAAGACAAATAAAGTTCAAATATACTAACTGCGAGTGGCAATGATCGGGATCCAAGCAAGTCGCGAAGATCTTGATTTGACTTGATTTGTTACTGCATCTCCCGACACAACACCACAGGAGACATCCATAGCGCTGATGAACCACCCTTAGCTACAACCCGTTGCAGCTTTCTTCTCCACATCCATGCACTGCTTGGACAGACAGCCAGCCCGTCCAGCGAGCCGTGCTTTATGAACACATATGTTGTCCGCGTCTTTCATTGCCGGAGCAGTCTGCCAATCCCTCTATTGAGTAAATATGACTTGTGATTGGACTGTAGGCCTACTTCAGCAAAAAGCCAAGCATTGGCCAAGAGCAGAATGACCTGCCTCCAGGCTTTTTTTTAAGTTGCGAGGTTGCGAAGCTTCATTTTCGCTTAGTCAGTTTCAGAGTAGAGCTGCGTGACAATGCTGCCGCAAATCATGTGAGTCGTGAGTTTTATATATATATATATATATATATAAAGTGCTGGGCAACGATTAAAATTTTTTATCGTGATTAATCACATGATTTTCTTGCGATTAATCGCATTGTTACGCGTAAAATTGAATAATAAATTCTAAAGTAGTTTATTGCGCAATTTTAATTTAAATGTACTGCTATATACACAAAAGTGTAATAACAGTGGTTTGCAAACACTTTAAACAAATAAGGTGCTTTTTACCAGCAGCACCCTTTACACAGTAGCAATAAATATTATTGTAAATCTTGTGCAGCTAATAATACTAAAATTAAAACTGCGTTAAGTGCGATAAAATAATTTTCGGCGTTAATTAATTAATGCTTTAACGCGTTAAAGTGCCCAGCCCTAATATATATAGGATCTTGTATGCCTATCATTAAGCCACACCTACATTTATATCCAAAATTAATGAAAGTTTCTAATGTCTTTCAATGAGGCCACTGTTGAATTCATATTTCAAGATTGAAAATCTAAGAATAATAAAAAATGATTAAATTACATACTTGTATTGATGGTTTCCAACAAAAGGACATTTTACTAGTAGGAAAACATGTGACAGGGTGGTACAAGAATGGCTCCCATGTCTAAATAAAAAGGATAATATTAATAATGATTTTGTGCATGAGGTGGGAAAATATGTTTTCTGGGGGGTTTAACATATCTTAAGTAAGTAAGTAAAACAAAAAAAGTTTGGTCTTGGTGAAAATTTGGAAAATTAGAAAGTGCAAATGGCACCCCTTCCGTAGAATGACTCAATTATAAAAATATGGGTGAAAGAATGGATTAGCACACGCAGGTAGCAGGGATTGTCTGAACTACAGAGAGAGCTGGAGGTGAATAAAAAGTGTTTTGCGGTGAAAAGTAGCTGCCTGCTCTCATTGGCTGGATGTGGATGTCGAGTCGGCCAATTCTTCCAGATATTTGGCATGCTAGATATCTGGCCGACATCAGCGATGTGTCAGAAATGTGTTGGGGAACCGTTTTGGTGCGTCGTTGAGTAGTTCACACATAACGACTGGCGACCCCTGATCGACAGCTGATTTACTCCCAATCACAGCCTGACGGTCGCCGAGCTCGCCCGAGCGGAAAATCCGGCTAAAAATCATGTAGTGTGAACTAGGCTTTAAACGCTCAGGCGACAAAGAGTCCAGCCAGCTGATCTGCAGCTCTTGTGGGCTGGAAATGTTGTAATAACCTTCCAAACTATCTTGATTTTATTTCATGTTGCTTTCTCTGTGTGGAGATATTTTAAGAACTTGATGGTTTTATCCAGTTTGTTATCCACACAAGTCTCACCGATGGCCGCCTGAGATCGTATGTCGGCATTAAATCTAGGCCTATTGCTCGGAATGCCAGCGTGCAGCGGTGTGTTTACAGTGAACGCTGATGAAGTTAAGCTAAATACTGGGTCTGAAGTTGTTGTTTTAAGTTTTCATCGGTCAGGAAGTTTTTCTCTCCAAAACAAGCGGAACAGCTGATTACAGCAGGTAATAAAGCTCGTTAAACATCCCATTCCTCTGAGCTTAGGCAACACAGACGTGACTGCTGCAGCTGATCTGCAGCTTGTTGGCTGTAAATGCTGTAATAACCTTCCAAACTGTTGTGATTTTATTCTTGTATTTCTTTCTCTGTGCGGGAGTTATTTTAAGAACTTGATGGCTTTATCCGGTTTGTTATTAAATGTGTGTTACTCCCCCCCCCCCCCCCCCCCCCCAAAAAGCTGTTTTTAATGGTCAAGCATAGCCTATAGTTTTGTTCATTTATAAATTTTGCTTATGGATAGTTGTTACAAATAAATTGTATGGCATATAGGCCTACAGCCTATGTCAGCTAGATAATTTGCGTCTGGCCCTGAGCAAAGGGATGCATCTTTACACAGTCTAGGTAGGCCTATCTATAGTTTTGGGGAACAGAGATCCTCTCTCGGCCTTCAATGAACATTCTAGGAGAGAAGAGGAACAACAAGAGAGGAAAACACCAAAACAATCTCACAGCTCTGACCTAAACCCTAGTAAATGTGGACGGACTAACATAAGGAGGATAGGAGAGGAACAGTTAAGGATAAAAAAACACAATACATATATCTATGTCATAATGAGAATAGTAATAATAATATTAAAAGATCATACATAAAAGATTAAATTTAAGAGGACACAATTTTCTGCCAGAACAGGGGCGTGGCCGCTTTGATTGACAGGTGTCTCTGGCCTCTGTCACTCCTAGCCCAGTGACGGTTTATTGGAGAGAGAACCTCCACGAAGTACGTGCTTCAATTGGTGAGTGAAATTGCTTTATTTTATTTATGTGTTAACAATATTTAACAGGTATTGCTGTCAGCATAGCTTGTTAGCTTAGCTCGTTACACTAACTAGCCAGATAGGCGCAGCCCCAAGCTGCTAACGATGCTAAATTAACAGGAGTTAGTGTGTTCTAACCACAGCTTTTAAGGAGTCAAAGACAAGTCAGCAAGAAGAGAAAAGCCAAAATGTATTAGATTAACCTTAGTGTTAGACATTAGGGTGATAATGCTTTGAAGAAAAGGTGTGTGTTAAGTTGTAAAGTAAGGCTCAGCCAAACATCTCTGGCACAGCTCTCAGTTAGCTGATGTTATATTAACGGTAAACTTTACAAACAGGCAATGTTAGATTTGGCTTCGTACTGTAACGGACTCACTGTTCAGTTACATGCTAGTCAGATACTATTATAAGTGGCTGCACCTGAACCGGAGGGACAGGAAGGGTTTAATAGCTGAGAGCCGAGGGGGGAGCGGCAGCTGCAGAGTTCTGCCTGCTCGCCGTGGAGAGCCGTGCACCTCCAAGTGTACTGTTCAAAAAACGATAACGTTATACTGTTTGTGGGGTTCATCAGAGGGGGATGATTGATTGGAAGTAAATATAGAAGTATGTTTAGAGTCATCAATAAGTTATTACACTTAGTGGATATAGCATGCCTTGAGATGTAGCAAACAATCTGTGGTGATAGCTGCGTTTGATCAGCGACTTTTCTGATAAGGAACATAAGACGTGGATGCATAATTCAGCAGAACAGATGCTGTAGGCTACCTGCAGAGATTTGCATCCACCTTTTTTGTCAGCATATAATGAGCGTTATGCCTGCAGACAGGTAGCTGGGCTGTAACTAGGGTGATGCTCCTGAGTTTCAAGAGGGTCCAACTGCAGACCTCCACTGTCATGCCACCTCCACCGTCAAGCCGGTCAGGAAAGGAAATACACACACAAACTACAAAATAAAAGCGTGCGATTTGACAGGAAATGCATTCAAAAATTTTAAAGTTTAATCACGTAGACACGGGGAGGGTTTTTGTCATTGATTTATATTTTATTATTTAGTCAACATTGTAACGGGAAGCTAGCAGGCTAATTCCTTAAATATAGCATATTGATTTGAGCCTATTCTACTTAGCACTTAACGTGCCAATGTAGCAACAAAGCCGACTATATATCGCTTCAATCAGTCAACTATTAACATTTTCTTTTTTTACAGGCACTATTTACTTATTCTGTCAAAATATGACGTTAATTCCGTCCATATAGCCACATCCATTCACAGAAAAACATCGTCATTGATTAAGAGTGTAACTTAGCCTCTCTTCCAGTCATCCTAAAGGAAACACACACACACACTTCTCATTCATAATTTACCTTTGAAGAGTAATATACTATGGCATTTTACTGCAATCAGCTGAATTTAATAGGAAAAAAAAGACAACTTTTTGAAACTGGACTACAATTTGAGCTTCGTGGTAGTCTGTAGGCTAACGGACGTTACCAGCGGGGATTAATAAATAACGTTTACCACATTGTTGACCACATTCACATGGTCAACACTTTCTCTCACACACAGCAGCCCACTACTTGCCCCAGATGTGTGTGATACTGTTTAAGTTTTAAAAGACTGAAATAAACCAACAAAGACAACTACTCAAGGAGAGACCGCAAATCCGCCCTTTATCGTATCATATTAATTATTAATCATGCGTAATGACATTCATGCGGTGCGCAGCATAGTTCGTTTGGAAAACGTGTTTATTTTAGTGTGTTCATCTTATTAATATAATGTACATTTGTGATTAAAAATAATGGTTGTTGGTAAATGAATTACTGACCCCCACAACATGAGTAAGAGCTCAGACCCTCCTTATGGACTGTAACTAGAACCCTGCTGGACTATGTGGACTATCAAACTGTACAGTCAATACAACATGTATACCTGTATCAATAATTTTGTAAATATCCACTTTTTAAAAATGAGTGGAGACACAATAGCCTACTGTAATAATCATTTTACTTTATTCACTGTACACACACAGATTACACAGTTAGAAAAGGAGTTGGCAGCAGTGACTGATTTGCATTATCCAAAACATTTTAAAGAAAAGTCTGAATGCATGGGTCTTGGCATGTTCCATCAAAATATCTACCACTATTAATATTTGTACATCTAAATCACGCAATTTGGTTATATGCCAACAGTGGCTGTGGTGATGAGTAGTATCTTTATGTGGCTAACTGTTTAAATAACCATGTGTGTTAAATATCTCCCTGCTCCAAAAAAGCTGATTTAATATCAACTAGTAATAAATCCTGAATTTGCCTCAAACAGGTGTTTTGAAGCAGGAATAGATTAAATCATGCAGGACAGGGGGTAACTTTCTTCAGGAAAGGGTTGGGAAACACTGTCGTAGTACATAAACTTAAATTAAACTAAGATCAATTCATACAGCCAGCAAAGTCTTTGCACACTGTTTAACATTAAGTGTGAAAAAGCTACACCGAACGGTCTAAACGATATAGATCTTTATTTTATCTTCTTTTGGACAAATAACTAACCTGAGCAGGACAAATGCAAACCTATGCCCTTGCAAAATGCTTTACAAAAAACAAACACACAGTAGCTTCATACAGGCTATGAGTAAAGTTAGCTTACGTTATCCAAAGGGGGAAAAAAAAGCTAATCCTGCTACTTCAGGAGTTAACGCTAGCCACCTTCGGCGTAGCCTAACGTAGAACGACACCTATGTAGAACGACAAATAATCTGACATTCTGTAATTTGTGTGATTTAGATGTACTAAATGTGTATTGACAGCAGTAGCTATTGACAGCGAATATACACCAAGAGCAATTGTGACGGGGCTTGTACTCCAAATGAACAAAAAATGGCGTAGTCGTAAATGATGTTTTTGTGATTTATTGGGCTCGTTCTTCCAAAGGTACAAAAATAGCGCTCAGCAACAAAATAGTCAAAAAAAATAGTATTTACAAAATGTACAGTATTCACAGTCCAAGCAAAAAGGCACAACAATCTATAATCAATCCGAGTCTCTCTCTCAATTACCTTTTTCTGTAACAGCTCTGGCACACACACTCCCTCTGGGCTGAAGAAGAAGGAACCCCCTTTAACCACTGAGGCCCATCCCCCAAGATAATTAACTCAACAATTGGCCATATCTCATTAGCTTTCATTAATACAAAAATAGCATAAATGTTCTAAAATTACAAGCAACAAAATACATATGTCACTGTGCCTCAAATATGCCCAGGAAAAATAATAAAATTATTTTGGGCCAAAAACTGGCATCTGGACATGACGTCATTGTGATGTCACACTCTGGCGTACCGCGTCTGATGCAATATAATCAGGAAGTGTAACAGGCGCTCGGTTTGACAGTAGTGTGTGGTGATTGTGGACTGAATACTGGGAAATGTTTTTTGGACGTCGAGGTTATGGCGTTACTCAATGTTCTGGATAATGCCAACCAGTCACCTACCGCTGTCGCGATGTGTAGTAGCGAAACAACCGAAAATGCATCACGTTACGTCCTGTGGGGACGTAAAAAACTGACCGGCCTGACAGTGGAGGTCTGCAGTTGACCCCTCTCCTGAGTTTAATAAAGTTTGTTTAGTTAAGGCGAGAAATTAGGTGTGTGAGCCTCCTCTGAGTTTGTTTAGTAGATTGAAATTTGCCTAAAAACGTAGTACATTTCAATAAGAAATAAGATCCTTATAATAACCGTTCAATAAGATCTGACTTGAGTAGTTATTATTGCACAGTGTCCAGCAGCAAACAGTATATTGCATATATTAGTAAACAGTGTATTTCACATTGCCACCCCTAATTACTGTTACATGCCAGAGAGGTTACCATGCTGAGGCAATCTCAGAGTTCAGTAGCTTTATAGCACTTTGGAAGAAGCTGCTTAACTGTCTACCCATTGTTTTCTTTACAGGTGCCAGAGGAGCTGATTGCAGAACCCTCCAGATGTGATTTGTCCCAGCTTCCAGTGACGCTCTTCAGCACCTGCTTTGCTCAGCCTTTTCTTTTTACTCACAACACCTGAACACCACTGATGCGAAATTATGACACTGGGTTCTTATCATTAAAATAGCTCTTACAACACTTATTGACTTGTTTCAAGTCATACAAAACAACTTTTACATTTGTAACCTTTTAATATCGATGTTTTCATGAATGCAAGACAAGAGTTTAATTTGTTAAACTATTGCTTGTGTATTAGGAATAATTTGTTATAAAATTGATCAGACTAATTATACTTAAAATAAAATCACATTCTTCATTCATCATCAGATACCTATCTTAACAGTAAATATTGTGATCTAAACTCTATATTATAGTTAACAGCTGTAAATGAAAATATTAAGATGGTATTTATAGGTTAACATTTTACATATGTTAGTAGAAAGTAAAAAATGAAAGGTTGATTTTGTGTATACTGTTTTATTTTTGAGACTATAGTATAGTTTTGTTTCTTTGTTTTCTTTACACTTGTTAAAGCACTTTGTAACTTGTTTTTGAAAAGTGCTCTGCAAATAAAGATTATTATTGAGACAAATGTGTCATTCACTGAGATGTTACTCTGTTGTGAAAAACAAAGAATTATCTGCAGACTGAATGGTTTTGACGACCTGCAGGTGGTGTAATTTACTGCGACCTCTTAGAAGGTTTTGTGTGGTTTACATTGTATAGATGCACCTATTTATTACATGTGCATTGTGAGCTCCTCAGAGTTTGCAATCTAGTGGCATTCATAATTACTCTGTGCAGATCATTCTTTGTTTCAGCACTTACCCACAGTATGTTTTGGATGTGCCCACATTCTTCTGTGTTTAAACTAGATTTATATCAGAGCAGCAAACAAGGCACTCTTCAGAATGATCAGGCTCCTTTACTGGGTGTATGGCTCCTTATCTTGATAAGGTAGGAAGTAAAAATACTCCTGCACGCACAGAAATACATTTCATGTGAAACACACTGGGAGTATTTTCACTTTTCAACTTATACTAGACTGATGTTCTTTAGCAAGAGTTCAGCTTTGATGTTTTATCTGAGGTATACACGTTCAGCTTTTCAGTAAGTAGTAATGACAGGGAACAGGATTTTTAACAAGCTTTATTACTTGCTGTAATCAGCATTCCATTTGTTTAGGAGAGGAGGAGACTGACTTCATCGCCATGTAGAAACCTGCTGACTGATGAAAAATTAAAACAACGACACAGGACCCAGAATTTATCTGTACACTGTAAACACACAGCTGCACGCTGGCTGCTATTTCACAAGCAATACATTTAATGCCGATGTATGATCTCAGGCAGATATTGTTGAGACTTGTGTGGCTATTTATGTTGATTGTGATTTATTGGTTTGCAAACAAAGGTGGAAAAGAGGAGCAGTAGTAAAAAAAACAGCCGACATGCTTGATTCAAAACCAGTAGCCTCTACTCGCCCATTCAGAAAATCACTGCAAGGCAAGCCCCACCCCAAAGTACCGGAACTTTCAAAAAGTACTACCTCCCGAACAGGGACTTTTTGAGGGGTAAAATAAAGACCCCTAGAACTACATTTAGACCCTGGTCCCTGCAGTGGAAATGCAGTAATTTCCTCCAAAGGTTCCTAGTCCCGAGGTATAGTCCCTTTGGTGGAAACTGGTTTAAACAGGCTTGGTATTATGCTCATTTTCAAAATCTCATTTAGGGGTTGTACCAGAACAGGTTTACATAGTTTAATTTTCAAAATACACCATATTTTTTGTCATACTGCACGTTGCAGCAGCTCCTCTTTTCACCCTGTGTTGAAGGCTTCGTTTTAGGAGTGATACATCTTGCCTCTACAAGATCTTTGTTGGGAGTTGCACATGCGCATTTCCTAGTTAAGGACTACTAGCCAATCAAAATCAGAGGGCGGGCCCTGAGAAGCCAATAAACAAGGCTTTGTTCAGCTGTATATGTTCCCCTTACCAGCTTATCAACATGGACTGGAGCAAGAGTTTCAGAGTGGTGAGTTATTAATTTCATCCATAAAGTTTTAACTGAGCTCTGTCTCTACAACACAACAACTTTACCATTAACTGCCTGGATGGTATTTTGTGTTTGGAAGGGAGAGGAGAGGTGTGCTGCAGCTCAGTGTTTTTCCACCGTGTTTTTGAGGGCGTGTCGGAGTAGCCGCTTGGCGAGCGTTCTATTACGCGCATTTTGCTTTTTGCTGGACTACAAAAAAGCTGTTTTCAGGCAGTTCAGAGCAGTGTTTTCTGTGGGAGATGGGAACTCCCTTAGGGGTGGACGTTGGGCTTTTTCACTTTGCAAACCCTATTACATGCACAAAAAAGTTATATAACTCAATAAATGAGAGGGGAAAACGCAAAAAGCATAATACCACCTCTTTAAGTCTCTGGTTCCCTACTGGCACTCTTGCAGCTGCTGTCAATCAGACACTGACAGGCTCCTCCAGCCAACTGAGACCAAAGAAGCATTTCTGACATTTCCCCCAAAACCTTTTGTTTCGTCTTTTTAATATATACATAAAACAAACTTTAAAACATGCTGACGTAATTGCATTGGACAGTGTTACTGTTCAACAGCCCTGAATATCCAATGAAGCTAAAAAAAAACAAGCACAGTTATCAGCATGTTGACCTTCACAGGAGAGAAATTAATCTCTTGTGTATGATGTATCTTTCATGGAAGCTTGTTAACATTACCAGCCAGCCAGACTCGAAGACTTGAATTAGAACCAGATATCTGCCATCCAATTTAGTAATTTAGCAAGTTAGTTTAGTTACTGACAATTGTTTTTACCTTAACAGAATTATAAGACATATCGTCTAATGTCTAAACTAGCTTGGCATATGGTATTTTTATATATATATATATATATATATATATATATATATATATACAGAATAATTAAAATACTCTCAAGGGACAATGTCAGTAAGAAGAAATGCAGAAAAAAGGCGGCAACCATTACATTTTGGATATTCAAAGTTATGTTAAACACTGAGGGCCAGTAAATGACATTTTGCGAATTAAGAATATGTGGATTAATGTGTTCTTCCATCAACATTTTATTCTCAGTTCAGATTCCTTGGGATTAACTGGATGCAGGTGCAAGAGGAGGGAGGTAAGTGCGTAAAAAGAAGAGTGCTGCGGAGCGGGGAGTGTCCAATAATTACAGAAATGGGATCAGGCAGGAGGATGTGCGGGACTCAGCACCGGCTGTTGGCCTTTCTGGTCTTTTCCACTTTGACGTCTCTGGCTGATGGATCACCATTGTAAGTAGGCCCACCTTATCTTTTTACACTCTTTATTGAATTTTGCTATTTTTGTGTTTTGCACAATTATCACAAATTTGTGTATGAAGTTAATAAAAGGCTGTTGCTCCACCAAGGAGCATTTACATGGCCCAAGCATTCTATATTTCCATTTCCAGCTCGTATAATTAAATATAATATATTGTTATTATTATTATTATTATTATATTATCTATAGTCCCTAAAAAAAAAAAAAGGATAAAAATATAGTTATTGTCCCTGAGCGAAAATTTGACTTTTACAACAGCTGCAAACCGCTGCAATCAACTTGAGAACAATATATAGCCAACAAAGCAATACAGAGGTACACCAAAGACACATTAATAAATTACATACAACAAAGAAAGAAAAGGGTATGTAAAATATGGCACAAGCCATTAGATATAAATACGTAGACATTATAAAAATGAAGAATGATCTAAAAGCACCAGTGCCTCCTTGCCAGTAAGACACTACATAAAGAAGGATTGAGCTGGTTGTTTGTTGAGTAGTGTTGAATGACTGAACATGAATTTGTTGTGTTGAGAGTTGTTTTTACTATGCAGTAAAAGTAGATGCATTCTTTTGTATATTACAGGTACATCTCTTAAAATTAGAATATTGTGAAAAAGTTTTTTTTTTTTTCAATAATTTAAATCAAAAAGTGAAACTTTCATATATTCCAGAGTCATTGCACATAAAAGGAAATATTTCAGGCCTTTTTTGTGTTTTGGTTTTAGTCTAGATGATTACAGCTATGGAAATTAAAAAGCCATATCTCAAAATATTTAGGGTTGGGTATCGTCTAAAGATTTTACGATACCAGTACCAAAACCAGTACCCTTAAAGTGATACCGATACCAATTGAGTACTTAATTTGATACCTTGCGTAAAATTCCACCTGTTGAAGCCATTGTAGTTGATTAGTAGCCTATTATTATTTTTTCATTATTTTGTTATGGACAAGCAAGGTTATCTATTTTTTTTTTCTTTTTTCAAATAATTACATAAAAATCCTCACGGGTAGTATCATATAGGTAAAGACTAGATCTTAGGAGCTGGAACTGCAGCTGGAGGCTCTATGAGTAAAATCAGCTGCTGCGCCACGAAAGCATTGAAATTATATGATGGAACGCAGAGATTGATCAGTGACAAGTGATAGTAGTGAATAGCAAATATAAATGTACAGAGTAGTGTTAAATGATACCAGAAGATGAAACCTACGAAAAGCCAAGCTTGTGGTGATAAACTTGCAACAGTCACGAACATGCCTGAGACCGCAGCTGAAGGTAAGCCGCTGTTAAAATCACGCATGGACTCGGCACGTGCAGACACATAAGTGCCCTTCTCACTCTTTCAGTGTGTTGCTTGCTTGTTTGGCTGCAAGGAAAACCAAACAAAAAGTAATTTTTTGCCACGTTCCTGTTATAATAAGTATCGAATGAAATACTGGTTTGACTAGAGACGTTTCGACATTACTTGATACACAAGGGCTGTTTCTGCTGTTACCTTAAAGGTATCGAAAAGCGATGCCCATCCCCCCAAAACGAATGTGTAATACAGAAATGATGACTTTCTGTAAGGTTTTAAAGTTCTGAAAGTGGTTAACTTAGACACTCAGACTTACTTGGTGGAGGCTCCTTTTGCACAAATTACTGCATCAGTGTGGCGTGGCATGAAGGCAATCAGCCTGTGACCCTGCTGAAGCCCAGGTTGCTTTGCTGATAGCGGCCTTCAGCTCGCTATGTTGTTGGTCTGGTGTCTCTCACTGTCCTCACACCATAGTGTCTCTGTGGGGTTCAGGTCAGGCCAGTTGGCTGACCAGTAATAACATCTCCTGGTACACGTTGCATTGACCCTGGACTTAAAGAAACACAGTGGACCAACACTAGCAGATGAAATGGCACCAAGTTTAATATAGTTTTGGATTTTTATTAGTATTTATATTGATTTTGTTTTGACTTTTCGTTTTCAATTTCAGTTTACATTACATTT